GAGTAAATAAGGAGAATAAAATGGTATACCTTCTGTATGTGTATCATTGTTTTCTTAAAAAAAACCTGAAGCTGAAATGGCAGAGTGCCAACAACTGTTAAATATAGAAAGGGCTAACAGTCATTTTTTAAGAAATTACATTACCTACCATGTTCTGATTATTTAAAACCTCTGGTAATTTTATAGAGACACAGACTAAGTAGGCAGCTTGAAGATGCTCTCTTGATCCCCTGAGACCTCAGAGATAGGAGCTGGAGGTAACACATAGGTAAGTCCAGAGCCAGTAATGGGAAGATAAGGGGGTCTTTGCCATCTTCCGGCCTCCCACCACCAAAAGATTATGGTAAATATCAGTGACTTCTGTAACAAACTATTTTCAAAGAGGCAGGTTTCTCTCCAGAGCAAATGTCCCCGATCATAGTAGAGAATTAGTACAAGATTAGTGGATGAGAGGAGCTTGATTATGGGTGCAAAGCACAGGGAAACATGAAAAAGATGACAGTCAGGCAGGAGGACATAGCTGACTCGTTCTAATCATCTGATCTTCACAGATTCCCTGAAGGAGCCTGTGGTTATAACACCTGCCCTTATTTCCAAACACCAACTAAGGGATGATAGGTTACCTGGATGACATCACAGTGGTATGAAGCTTTGCATCTCTGATGNATTTACGAAAGAGAGGTGCTTCAGTATGGGTGCAAAGTATAAGGAAACATGTGAAGATGACAAGCAGGAGGACATGGGTGACTTGGTTCTAATCATCTGATGTGTGTACTATCTTCACAGCTTCCCTGGATGAGCCTGTAGTAAAACACCTGCCCTTATTTCCAAACACCAACTAAGGGATGATAGGTTACCTGGATGACATCACAGTGGAATGATGCTTGGCATCTCTGATGTACCATAGGGAAGATCTGTCCTCAGGAAGGGCAGAGGGATTGAGTGAGACCTGGGCTCCGGGGCTAGAGGCTGCCTCTATGACAGGAGGCTTGGATGTGCTACCGTTTTCTAAGGAAGGATGGTTGAATGAGGGGGTCACACGCACGCTGCTGTCTCTGCATCCTTAGAGGGGCAATGTCCAAAGCTCCTCATTAGCCAAGCAATTTTATTGTTACTGAGATCCCAGGATAGAGCAAATCCTTAAAGACCAAGGTTCTACAAGGGAGGAATTCAGGATGGCTGCTCCCTGACCCTTGGGACCAGGTATCCAAGTTGTACTTTTCTCCACCTGGGACGGCTCATCTCCATTTCAAATTCTTGGCAAATGTGGGCACACCATTCGTCTCTGGTTGAATTCAAGTATTCTTCGTTTAGGTAAAAACAGTGGATCTTTTCCTAATCAATGCCATCAGGAGATCTGATGCTAACTGTAGGTGTGAAAATATGGTTTATATATGTGGATATAAGTCATAGATTTGAAAACATAATTGGAATATTATAAAATTGGAAGCACTCAGGAATTTTTCTAAGGGTCTTTATTGTTTCCAGAAGCTTAGTCTTTACTGTTTATATCTATACAATGGATTCTAATTTACTTTCTGTGATAATTTTGTCCCTGGTAGAAACAGACAAGCTTATTACTCCAAAAAAAGATTTGCATAACCATGATTTCTAACTTTTCCACTATAGTTTCAATACACATTTCCATTCACTTTAGGAGACAGCAGATTAAAATTATGTAAAGAACTCAGGAATTAATAAGAAAGAGATAACTCACTGGAAATACCACAAGCATGTATTTAAAGAAAGGGAAATGGCTGTGGGAAAAGACTCCCAAGCCCATAATAATAAGTGATATGCTGAGGAATGAAATGACTTTGACACCCACTAGATTATCAATATATTTGAAAATATATTGATGATGATATAGATCACCAACCTTCTAATGTGTGTAATTGGTCCAAATGTTTAGAACTCCTTGGAACAACCCAAAGGAGGGGTCACAGCCACTTACATCCAATAATTCTCCTGCAAGTATAAAACTCTCTCTTTTCCACCAAGAAATACAGATGAGAATATTCAAACAAAAATTCAAAATAAAAAACTAATTAATAAATACAAATAAAAATTAATTATAAATTAATTATAAATAAATTAATAATAAATTAATAATAAATAATAAATTAATTAATAATAAATAATAAATAAAATAATAATAAAAATATAATAAATACAAATAAAAAATAATAAATACAAAAAAATTAATAAATACAAAAAAATTAATAAAAAACAAAATCTCCCTCAAACCTGGACAGGATACTTAGAAAAGTCCCCATGCATCTTGTAAAAACAGAAGGAGTGGAAATAAATTCATTGCTGATATGCCCAAAACATGATTAAACATCAAAGTACAATTATGAGAAAAACAATCAAAATGAAAAATCCATACATTATATTAAGTTGTTAACAAGTTTGAAAAGAGGCAGATTTATAAATTGGACAGGAAATACATTGGAGTGGTAAGATGACATTTAATCCTAAAGCCAGTGTTTCTTAGGGCAAATATACTGGCAGTTTCATGGATTTCAATCCCAAAAAAGAACTTCAGAGAAAATAAGCACAGAATTCAGGGTAGTGTTTGCATGTGGTATTAGACTGGGTGATATAGGTGGGTGACCATTTAAGTGGATTCTAAGGTTTTAGAATTCTTCTATCTTTAACTGCTAGATAGGAGTTTATATTATAATGTGATCATTATATGTACATTAGAGGCAACATTGCTTTCTCTTAGTAGAAACAAAGGTTTTCTCACTAATCAAGATGAAATATTTCACAACTGCCTTAAACCACTGAAATAATCAAATTACAGCAATTTTATAGTTGATGAAACTGACTGTCATGAATGCTTCTGGTGCCTTTGAACAGATAATTCACCATGACTTTTGGAAATTACCAAATTAGTTATGAAGTATCAGCTCCACACATATTTCACAAGGGTAGAAGGTTTATGGAACATCTCTGACACCAAATGCATTGCTATATTTCTTTCCTACATATATATATGACATTAACAATGTTATACACAGCAGTAATAGTAGTGTAACTTCATTTGGGTACCCAGACTTGATTTCTATGTGTGTAAATATGTGGGAAGGGGGTCACTCCACACACTCACATACACCAAGCAATTCTCAAACACCAGCAGGATGTTGGAGAACTTAACCCAATTCTGATGCTGATGGCTCTTGTTTGCGGATCCAAAGAATGAGCTTCACAAGCAGTCAAGGTAGGAGAGCAAGGTACAGGCTTTTATTTAGAAATACAGTGAAAGGACAGAGCTCCTGGCTCACACCAGGAGGGGACAAGAGAGTCCGTAGTGGTGCATTGTCTAGGGGGTTTTATAGGCAGTTGAGGATTTTTCTAGAACATGAAAAAACTCAGGAGTGGGGACTTGTTAAGTGGTCTCTGAATATTAAAAATTAACTTAACATAAGGAATTTCCTGCCTTGATTTCTCTCTGGGACACCGGTGCCTGGGTCTGGGAGCATATCAAAAGGCTGCCTGCCCAGCCCCCAAGGTGGGCTGAGGTATTGTCTACTTGCTAAAGAATCTAGCCTCTTAAGCTTCCTGGGTGTTAAATTGCAATCTTATAATTAAGGTGGAATTTTTCCTGCCTTTTACCATGTCGTCTACAGCTGGGTCTACATGCTAAGTTAGCTGCTCAGTTCGCAAAATCACCTCATCAGATCTGAAGGAGGAAAGACAGCACATAGGCCTGGGACTTTTAGCATGCTAACGTGAATCTTACACATGGTTACAAATGATTAGCATAATAAAACATGTGCTACTCTTCTTTATCTGGGGAACATTAACTGATTTCGCTGAAGAATGATTTTAGAGCTCAATGCTTAACATAGAGTTTTAGCAGGGGGGGTTTCTTTGCATGTAGTTACATTGCTCTGACTGCAAATATCCCACCCTGCCCCCTCTGGAGGGCCTCACTCTATTCTGACTACATCTATGATCCCTGTCTCAATGCTATCTGCTCGGAGACAGCATCAGATCCCCAGGCTAAGGGCTCCACCCTCCAAGACTGCCCTCCACCCATCACTCCAGACACTGGTCACAAGCCATAGGCAGTTACCTGTACCTCTGACCTACCAGCTACAGATTGGAAGCTTCCATGACCTCCCCTTTAGGTTTGATTAATTTGCTAGAGTGGCTCACAGAACTCAGGAAAACACTCACATTTACGTTTAATAAAGGATACCATAAAGTACAAGTGAACAGCCAGATGAAGAGAGACGGAGGGCAAGGTCCCAAGAAGCTTCTTTCCTCATGGAGCCTGGGGTCTGGCTGAGTGGCACATGGAGGCATTCTGTTTCCCCAGGCATAGAAGCTCTCTCCCACTGAGAAGCAGGATCAAACCAAGCAGAGCAGGCGGAGAAGAGCAGTGAGAACAAAGAACTCTTCTCAGAAGTTTTTGTGAGGACTTCACTGTATACTCATGATTGGCTGATCCAACCTCCAGCCCCCACTCATGCATGGGGGTCCCAAATCTCTCATTAACATGACAAAATACCCTGTTTCACCTTTATGACTCTGCAGTGTTTTCAGGAACTGTGGATAAAGACCAAATATACCTGGGAAATACATATTTCTCTTATAATTCATTATATCACAGCTTATTTCTGGGCTGCATTTCACAGGGCACTATCTATGAAATTGGCCACACAAAGTCTCTGTAACCGCCTACGTGCGTGGCTCCTCTCCCTGACTCATCCAATTCCCTTACTTTACTTTTTCTGGAATGTCAAATGAAACTACTATAAACCCTGCTTCAGTTTCAGCTCTGTGGATCTGACAAAGGAAACTGATTTTGATAATAGAACTTATTTTTGAAACACCAAAAGTGTACAAAAAGCAAGTCAAATTTCAACCCAGAGTTGCAATTCACTTATCCTTTATGCTATCTTGTCGCTTTAGAAGAATGTGGGGCTGTAAGAACCAAGCATTCTGGATCTCACAATATTTCTGTCCCTTGGATCATTCTAGAAATCCTAGTCCAAAGAAGATGACACAGACACAGAAGAGAATGTGCCCCAGATACTGATGAGTTTCCTCAAGGCGCCCTTCATGTCCCTGTTCCTCAGGCTGTAGATGAAGGGGTTCATCATTTGAGGGACCACAGTGTACATCATTGAAACCACAGCAGTGTTTCTGGAAGAGTCCGCAAAAGCAGAACTAATATACACCGCAAACGCTGCCCCATAGAACAAGCAAACAATCGAGAGGTGAGAACCACAGGTAGAAAATGCTTTAAACTTTCTACCAGCTGAAGGCATTCTCAAAACAGAGGAGACAATTTGAGTATAAGAAAAAATGATTCCACACAGAGGAATACCACCAAATATGCCAGTGGCTAAATAGATCAGGAAGTTATTGATGAGGGTATCAGAACAGGCCAGCTGGATGACCTGAACAACTTCACAGAAGAAGAGGGGGATTTCCACATGTGTGCAGAAGGACAGCCTCAACAGCATCAGACTGTGGAGCAGGGCATCCACGATACTAATGAGCAGGGAGAGAAGAATCAACAGGCCACAGAGGCGGGGGTTCATGATAACAGTGTACATCAGTGGGTGACAAATGGCCATATAGCGGTCATAGGCCATGGCTGAAAGAATACAACTATCCAAACTAGCAAACACAAGGACACAGCACACCTGGGTGAGGCAGCCTGAGTAACTGATGTGCTGATTCTGTGCTTGGATGTTCACCAGCATCTTTGGAACCGTGGTTGTGCTTAAACAGATGTCAGCCAGGGACAGGTGGGAGAGGAAGAAGTACATGGGGGTGTGGAGGTGGGGGTCAGAGCTGATGGCCAGGATGATGAGCAGGTTCCCCAGGATGGTGACCAGGTACATGGACAGGAACAGGCTGAAAAGGAGGGGTTTCAGTTCCGGATCCTCTGCCACTTCCATGAGAAGGAAATCTGAAACATATGTTTCATTTCTGGGTTCCATGCTTTTGAGAAATCTGATGAAAAAGATAGGATAACAAAACAATGAAACATGTGGTCCCTATACAAGCATCAGGAGTACCACCAAAGACAAACATCGTTTGGGGAGGGGAAGGAGCCAAGAGAAGAGATGCCTTCTGTATGCATCTTATTTTGTTATTTTGAGAAAGAAAAAGAAAAAACTCAAAGTTAATAAAGCGGTGTGTCTATATGTGTTAATTTTGAAAAGGGTGGAGGAATGGTCATACTATTATCGAATATAGTTGATACACAATATTACATTGGTGTTAGGGGTCCAACATAATGTTTCAACAATTTTATACATCTAGGGAATACTCACTATGACATCTGTCACCGTAAAAGTCATTACCATATTATTGACTATATTCCTTAGGCTGTACTTTCCACCCCAGTGACTTATTTATTTTATGGTTGGAAGCTTACACCCCTTCATTCCTTTTGCCTATTTTGCCCATCTCCCACTCCCTTCCCTGGACACATAGATCAATGGAACAGAATCGAGAACCCAGAAAGAAACCCACACTTTTATGGTCACTTAATCTATGACAAAGGAGGGAGGAATATACAGTGGGGAAAATCTTTGATAATGGTGTTCTTCAATAAACTGTATTTGGAAAATGGTACAGAAACATGCAAGAGAATGAAACTGGATCACTGCCTTACACCATACCCAAAAATAAACTTGAAATGTATTAAACACCTCAATTGAAGACCTGAAACCATAAAACTTCTAAAAGAAAACACAGGCAATAAACTCTTGAGCACCATCATTAGTATTTTTTTTCCAGATATGTCTCTCCAGGTAAGAGAAACAAAAGCAAAAATAAACAAGTAGAAGCATGTCAAACTATAAATGCTTCTACACAACAAAGGAAACCATCAACAAAACGAAAAGGCAACCTGCTGAGTGGGAGGTTATATTCACAAATGATATATCTGATAAGAGGTTAATATCCAAAGAATATATGAACTCATAAAACTCAACACTAAAAAAAAAAAAAAATCCCAAATAATCTCATTAAGAAGTGGACGGAGGACCCAAATAGAGATTTTTCCAAAGAAGACATACAAATAACCAAAGGACACATGAAACAATGCTCAACGCCACTAATCATCAGGAATAGTCATTTTTTAAATTACAATATGCGTTTCTGGCTATTTAAAATATCTGTTAAGTTTCTTAGGAGAAATAGGTAGTTTTGCTGGTGAGGCTATTTGCATCTCCACAACCTTCCCCAGAGACCTCAGAGCCTGACAACAGACAAAACACAAATGTATCTTATAAACCCAGAATTGCAAGAAACAAGGCAAATGCCCAAGTCCCTGCCCCCAAACCACTACAAGAATTAAGGAAATGCCAGCAAATGTTAGAAGCATCACCATGCTTGCAAATGAGGAGAACAGTCTTTGCCATTATAGAGAGAGAATAGGAGATGGGTAGAATTATAGCTGTTGTAGGACTGGAGGAAAAGTACAAGGTAACTGGTAAAGAATGGAAGACAGAGAGGGGATTGAAGATGGTGGAATAGGAAGACAAGGCAGAAACCCCCTCCCAAACACACATAAAAGAAGAAAATACAGCAAATGCAACCAAACCTGAAAGTGACTTGAAGACTGCAGAATGGACCACCTGCACATGAGGAAGACAGAACCACACAGAAAAGGGTAAAGTGGCAACTCTGAGATGGAGTAGGATCCAAGACATGCCCTCACCCCAGCCTACAGGCAGGAGGAGGAGGAATGGAGGCGGGAAGGAATAGGAGCCCAGGAACACTGCACACCTGACCCTGGAGATCTGCACCATGATTACAGGCCCATATTGTACTGGGTTCTGGGGAGTAGTGGGGCAGGACACAGAGGCTGAGACTCTGCCAGTGTGGAGGACAGACCCTCTCTGCAAGTCCCGAGACTCAAAGCAGAGGCATAAGTCTGAAAGACATGCCAGCTGTGAGAGGGGACCCAGAGGGGCGAGGGTTGGATGGAACTCTCTCAGGAGAAAGGGCCAGGTGGATACCTCCCCATCCCTCCCTCAGCCCAACAGATTGAGAATTCCCAGGAGCCCCAGATGCTCCATCCCCCTTGCTGGCAATGCAACCCCAAGACTCTTCCCTGTGTACACTGCTGGGAGTCCACCCAGTTGGCCCAGTGGTAGTAGCAGACTTTGCTGCCTGGCAGGCAGAGGGGGACTACCCTAGCTTCTTTGGCCCCGTTTCAGCCTAATCAGAGAGATGCACACAGGAGCCAGGCCCAAGAGCGCCTTCTTCCCTACAAGTGTCCAAACGCAGTGCTGAGCATCTGGGCAGTACAGAGCCAAGCAAGCATAGGCCCATCGACACATTAACCCTGCAGCTGCACCACTTCTGCAGGCCAGCAGAGGGAAGCCTTGACCACCAGCTAGCTCAGACTCCTAGGCATCCTACAGTATGGAAGAATATATTCATAAATGACTCATAAGGGGTTAACATCCAAAATATACAAAGAAATCATACACTTCAACACCCCCCAAACAAATAGCCTGTACAAAAAATGGACAGAGGAACTGAACAAACACTTCTCCAAAGACATACAAATGGCCACCAAGTACATGAAAAGATGCTCCACATCACTAATTACCAGGGAAATGTACAATAAAACGACAATGAGGTATCATCTCACCCCAGTTAGGATGCCCAACATCCAAAAGACAAGAAACAACAAATGCTGGTGAAGACATGGAGAAATAGGAACCCTCTTAGGCTGTTGGTTGGAATGCAAATTGATGCGACCGCTGTGGAAAGCAGTTTGGAGGTTCATCAAAAAACTAAAAATAGAAATACAGTTTAACTCAGTAATTCCACTTCTAGGAATTTACCTGAAGAAAAAAAAACAAAATCCCTGATTCAAAAAGATATATGCGCCTGTATGTTAATTTCTGCACTTTTTGCAACAACCTAAGTGTCCATCAGTAGATGAATGGATAAAGGAGATGTGGTACATACACACAATATTATTCAGCCATAAAAAGAAAAGAAATCCTACCATTTGCAACAACGTGGATAGAACTAGAGGGTATTATGCTCAGTGAAATAAGTCAGGCGGAGAAAGACAAGTACCAAATGATTTCTCTCATTTGTGGAGTGTAACAACGAAGCAAAACTGAAGGAACAAAATAGCAGCAGACTCACAGACTCCAAGAAGGGACTAGCAGTTACCAAAGGGGAGGGGTGGGGGAGGGCAGGTGGGGAGGGAGGGAGAAGGGGATTCAGAGGTACTATCATTAGTTCATATGGTGTGGGGGGGGGTCACGGGGAAGACAGTGTAGCACAGAGAAGACAAGTAGTGACTCTGTGACATCTCACTACACTGATGGGCAATGACTGTAATGGGGTGTAATGGGGGGACTTGATAATATGGGTGAATGTAGCAACCACATTGTTTTTCCTGTGAAACTTTCTTAAGAGTGTATATCAATGATACCTTAATAAAAAAATGTGAAAGAAAGTATTTCACTTCTGCTTATTTATGTTTTATGTTATACTTCAAGCATCCCAAAAAGGACAGAAAGACAATGAGGAACTTAAACCCACCAGCCAGCACAATCTCATTCAAATTCATTGTGCTACATTGCTTTGGTGTTTTGTTTTGTTTTGTTTTCATTTTTTAATAAATACAACAAGGCAGATCATGAAGCCCCAGCCTCTTCTTGCACAATCTCACCAGTGACCTTGCCTCCAGAAGGGTAGCCATGACCCTGAACTTCAAATGTATCATTCTCCTGGATTGTTTTATGTGAGTCATGGTGTAAACATAAACATCCTATGCTTATGTAAAGTAATAAATCACATGTTCATGTTTATGTTACCAAATTTCATATTCAACTCAGCAACTGGTTTTGGCTTTTAACACTCTATCTCCTATACTTATCAAGGTTGATGCAAGCAGGTCTGATTTACTAATTCTAAGATATGTTCTCACATCAATGGCTTTTGGGTTTGTCAAGGATTATTTTTGTTATAGCTCAGAAGTATTTTATGGAGACACATTCACATGTGTGTGTACTTATACTATTAAAGTAAGCATGATGAATACCCACCAACTTCCACAGGGTGGTAACCTCTGGGGGAGAATTTAGAATAAACAATAAAGACTTGTCCAGGATGATATGAAGTCATCCTTGTCTGAAAGCAAAGACCTTTCTATGTGGTATTTGAATGTCTAAGACTCACTTTTAAAAATAACAACTTCCTACGTAATACTTCATTATTTTAAAACGGTGTCTGAAGCTAATACAGCAGATAAAGGTCAACATTAATTCTGGAAGATGATTGCATGGCTGTTTATTTTACTGTGTACTGTGCTGTTCTGATGGCATAAAATATTTCACACTTTATTTGGGTGTTCTCAAAGGAAGACTATAAAGGGGGACAAAGGGATCTCAATCCTCTCTCCCAGAGTCCTCCCAGAGTTAGGGGCCAAGACTTAAATTCTCCTCTAAGGATGAAATCTGAAACAAGATAAGGAAAAATTGAGAACTAAACTCACTCCACCCCAGCCCAACTCCTGATCCAAAAAAAATGAAGGAAGCCAGAGAATCACCTATCTGTCTGGTTTTTGAAGGGGCTAATTCATGGTCAGGTGGGGAAAGAGTCTCTGGAATTTAAAAGGAGAGGAGGAGCCGGAAGTAACGAAGGCTGGTTGCAAAAAAGATAAAAGGAACATAAATGAATCAAGAAGAGAGTAAAAAAATAGTTTGAAATCTTTTAACGTAATCCCACTGAACTTTCTCTTACCTCTTGGATGTCCTCCAGATAGGTTGATTTTTTAAAAATTGTTTCATGTCTCACAGATCTTATTGGAGTGCTTGATCACCTCAAAGCCATCCATGATTCCTCTGGCTATGGAAGGATGGGTATGGGAAGTCTGTCCCCAGACAGGGCCGATGGACCAAGTAAGGAAACTGGGCTCCTGGGCGCAGAGCATCCCAGAGGGAGGGAGACTCAGGTGTGCTGTTTCCTAGCTGAGCAAGGCTCTTAAATGGAGGGGTCACTGGTAGACTAGAGACCTACAGTCTCTGTGGCCCTGGGGGCTCAATTTCCAAAGCTCCTCATTAGCCAGATGTCATTTTTCCCCCAAGCCCTTAAGGGAACAGGTGGGCTTCTCCTTAGACCAATTCCCAACTTTCTCTTGAGTCAGAGATTTGTACTGAAGGACTAGAGAACTGCAGTGGTGGAAGCCTCGAGAGGGACGGAGACTCAGATGAAGGCAATATATCAGGGGATCCTCTCCACAAAGCCACTCTTAAGAAAAATTTCGATTTTCTTAAAGTTCCTTCATGGATGAAGTTAGTACTATTGTAAGGAAGAGTAAAAAAAACAAACCAATTAACTCTTAACTTGGCAGGCTCTTAGAGGTTTCCTGAAAAATAAATATCAAACCAGCCCTCCTAAAGAGATCACACACAAAAAAGCACTACTTCTAAAGAATGCAGTTAATAAATTGACTTTTAACCTTGGAGAACTCTAAGGGATATATAAGAACTTTCTGGACTATTTTTCAACTTTTCTGTAAGTGAAAAATAGTTCAAAAAAAAGGTTAGAAAATTTTGTATGAAAATATGGTACTACAGCATACTCATCAAAATGGCCAAAATGGGAGGAAAAATGTAAAATATTGGCAAGATGGCAGAAATGTATATTGGTGCAATTATTTTATTTTAGATAATTATTTGATAGTATTGAATAAAAGTGTTCATATGTATTTCTGAAGACCCAGAAATTTCACCATCCAACAAAAATATGTGCAAATGGGAACCAAAAAACAGGTATTAGAATGTTCATGGCAGAACTATTTGTAAAATACCTCAGTCAAAAAGAACCCACATATTCTAAACAGTTGAACAAATTGTGCATATTCCACATGTTTTCTACAACACATTCTGCTCCATACAATGGAAAACTACACAGCTATGAGAATAAACTCCTGTTAAATGAGAATGTAGATGAATCTAGCAAATACAATGTTGAGCAGAAGAAGCCAAGCACAAATGATAATGCAACTATCAGGTACAAAAATGCATACACCTCTGCAAATATACTAAAAACAACTGAAATACTTCAAATGAGTGAATTTTATGGGATGTAAATTACATATGAATAAAGCTGTTATAAATGCATATGATTCCCTATTTACATTCTGGTGGTAGAAATCAAGGTGCTCAGTGGCTTAGGGGGAACTGAGAGATTCCTGCATGCTGATAATATCCCATTTCTTGACTCATGTGTGTAGTAGTTGATACAGATGTGTTCTACCTGATAAAAAAATTCATGGGGTTGTACACTTTTTTACATTTCTTAAATGCAAGCAACAGAGTGAGTTGTACAAAGTACAAAATTCCAAGGAGGATTTAATCATCCACAGTCCTGATGGGAAAATTGATCACAGACCTCATTTCAGGCAATGATAGGTTAAAAGACATGAATTATAAAAGTATATGGATTATTTATGAACAAAACTTAAAAGCTTTCTCTAAGAAGTAGATCTCTATTAAACACACATTCCTATACCAAATAATTATTCAAAAAATTTTACCATATCTCATACAAGACTGTATTTGAAAAAATTGATATTCCGTGGCTTATACAGGTTTGTGATTGCAGTCAAATAGGAACAAATAACCATCTTCCCACCACACAACTACCAACACACACACAGAAACACACTGAAAACATGGTGACTTAAAACATTAGGTGTTTATTTTTCCCAAGTAACAAGTTGTAAAGGTAGGAAGTTTTCCCTTTAGCATTGAATGTTCATGTATCTCCTAAGGGATTAATGAATAAATGAAAGATTTTTCAAGGTCATTGCATAACTTAAATTTCTCCCACTTAGATATTACACAGAGGCTTTCTCAGAGTCTTTATACCCAGGTTTTCTCTTTAGTTAGCATTTGCTTGCATGTCTGAAAGACTGAGAGCTCCCTGAAAGCTATTCCACATGGATGTGTCAATTAAAATTTTACCCAGCATAAGTTCTGCTATGATGCTGAAGGGATATGAATTTACTGAAAACTCGCCCACAGACTTTACATTTAGGTTTTTTCTTTAGTATGTATTCTTGTGTGCACGGTAAGATTACACCTTACACTGAAAGTTTTCCCACACTGATTACACTTGTAGGGTTTCTCTCCAGTGTGAGTTCTCATGTGTATTTTAAGGGACATGTGCTTCCTAAAGGCTTTTCCACACTCGCTACACTTAGAGGGCTTCTTTCCCCTGGTGTGATGTTTCATGTGTCTCCTATGAGATAAGACACCATGGAAGACTTTCCCACATTCCTTACACTCATATTGTTCTGTTCTCATGTGAACTTTCTTGTGTGAAATGAGGAAAGATTTCATTCTGAAGGCTTTTCCACACTGATTGCATGTAAAAGGTTTTTCACCAGTGTGAATTCTCATGTGTTCTTTAAGGCAGGAGCGATCCCTGAAAGCTCTTCCACAATCACTGCACTTGTAGGGTCTCTCTCCAGTATGAATTTTCTTGTGCACCATAATATTAGAGCTCATTCGAAAAGTCTTCCCGCATTGATCACACTTACAACGTTTCTCTGCAGTATGTATCCGCAGATGTGTCTTCAGGGATTCCTGACTACTTAGTGCTTTTCCACAGAGGCTACATTTAATGGGTTTCTCTACAGAGTGGATTCTTTCATGGCTTTTAAGGTATGGGAGAATACTGAAGGTTTTCCTACATGCTTGCATGCATAGGGTTTCTCTCCACTATGTATGATTGTGTGCATGGTAAGCTTAGAGCTTCGACCAAAGGTTTTGCTGCATTGGTTACATTTGTAGGGTTTTTCTCTTGCATGAATTCTCTCATGTTGTCTGAGGAGTGAGCTGTCTCTGAAGACTTTTCCACAGCTATGGCATTCATAAGGCTTCTCCCCAGTATGAATTCTCTCGTGCCTTGTAAGGTAAGAGCTTGAGCTGTATGTAGGCTTTTCCACATTGATCACACATAAAAGGTTTTTCTCCAGTGTGGGTTCTCATGTGCAACTGAATGGATGTATAGCTCTGTAACACTTCACCACACAGACTACATTCAGAAGATTTCCCTTTTTTGTGAGTTTTTCCATGTTTCTTAAGATAGAAGATTGAATGTAAGACCTTTTCACATCCACTACATTTATAGGATTTCTCTCTTGTAGGTCGCATCCTGTGCATAGCTAAGTAAATGCTCCTAATAAAGGCATTTTCATCTTTTTTACTTTCATAGTTTTTCCCAGGAGGAATTTCCCCATGAGTCTTAAAATGTGAAAAATCTCTGAAGGTTTTCCAAGAGTCAAAGCATTTATAGGGTTGCTCTCCAGGATGAATTCTCTTACTCTGAGCTCTGCTACATTTCATACTTAAGGCTTCAAACATTGGTTTGCTTCCATGAGTTTGCTCCTAGTCATTAAAATATGAGTTATGATCACAATTTATCACATTCATTATACTGATTGAGAATCTCCCCACACATAAATTCTGACATGTCTAACAAGTATTTTAAGCATTAGAGTTTGTGTGACATTTTTTTAGTGAATACACACACTTTCTGACTGTTTATCAGCTTAAGATGAATGCTATATCCCATGGCTACTGTTGAGACTCGTCAACAGAGTTTTAACATATAATTGACTTAAACTGAATTATATTTTAAACATTTAATATCTAATCTCCATTGTGAAACTGTTTACTTTGGGAATTCTCTGTAACCATTTTTTGAAGCTAGGTTGTGAGTTTCCTTCAAATTAATGCTATTTAGAGAATCACCTGCTTTCTCTTGGTGAAACAAGTGTGAGGACACTTGCTTCAAATTATGCTCTAGTTCATGTGCTCTTTTTCTAGCATATGGCATTCTGGACTTCTGATGTGGAAGACAAGAAATAATCCCATGTGAATCTTACCTTGTTGCCGTTGAGTATTTTTTGCTCCAAAATACAAAGCATAGAGTTACCAAATGATCGAATAATTCTACTCCTAAGTAGATAGCCAAGACAAAAAACATGTCCACACAAAATCTTGTACATGAACCTTTATAGTAGCATTAGTCATAATAGCAAATGTGTCAAAACTCCACACATCCATCAGCTGATGAATGGATAGACAAAATGTGGTGTATCTATACAAGAGAATATTATTCAACAATAAATAGGAATTAAGTAACTGATATATGATATAACATGATGAACTTGGAAAACTTTCATTTCATTCTAAATGAAAGAAGACAGTCACAAAAGACTGAAAGTAATATAATTCCATTAATATGAAATGTTGAGAATAGGCAAATCTATAAAAAACTGAAAGTAGATTAGTTGTTGCCACGGGCTGTAGGCAAGGATTTATGAAATGCCCTGTAGGTGGGGTAATGAAATGCTCTGGAATTAGTGGTGATGGTTGCACAACTCTGCATACACTAAAAAGAAATTGTTTTCTACAGTTTAAATGGGTAAGGTATGCTATGTGAATTACATCCCAATACAGACACTTTTCCTAAAAGTAAAAATCTGAAAAAATCTGTAAGAAACCTATGATCTGCACCACAGGGTGACTGGGCTTTATTTATCCCAGAAACCTATGCCAAAGATCAATAAATAAATGAAGGGATTGGGTCGGCCTTACTGAGTACAGCCAAGTTCCAGTAGTTCTCCAGCATCACCTCTCTGTTCAGTTTTCTCTGAGATGAGTTCAGCAAGGGCCACTCAGCCTGGGTGAAGCTGACGGCCACATCATCAAAGGTGATTGAGTTCTGAAATATCAACACATTCCGTCTCAACCAACAACCAACCCCACCACTGTTCTTGGGAAGAGATTATAGGTGACAGCTCTGGGGATCAAAGACCTGTTTCACAGTAATTTTGAGATTTTGAAGATATTCTTCATGTATCCCTTTTTTTTCTATTCTCAAAATCTTCCCTCCTCTATTTTCACTCACTCCTTATGTGATCTCCCACAGGCTCAAGAATTTAAAGAATCTTTAACACATGATGAAATGCATCTTTCCACTTCCACCCCAAGAGCTTTAACAGTCCCCTCTATATCCAGGATCCAAAATAGACCTGAACACAATGAAATCATCAGAGAAATATTTGCTAAATGAATACATTATGTCCTACAGAGTGACCATACTTTTTTTGAGGCTCAGACAATCGCATAATCTTCTTTTACTTTACCTACCAGCACAAAGCAGAAGGGATGCCTGAAAAACAATTGCAAATAGTGGGGTAATGGAAGAATTTTGTCAAAGAATTTTGAACCACCTTCAAAGGCCTCAAGATTCAGGATCAAGGTTGGGAGGCTCCAGACTATTAGAAGGTAACACGTTGACCCCCAGGGAACAGGAATGTATTTTAAGACAAAGAAAAAAATCTTGACTCACCTGTAAGCTAGAGTGGGTGTTTTCCATCTCTGTGATCCTTTTATGGGTATAGGCAGGGTGTAGGGCAGGCAGAGCTAGAGGACAAGCTAACAGGGTAGACACATCCAGTACTGCAACACCCAGAAGCCTAGAAATTGCCCAACATCAATTGAGTCACATGTACACACACAGTATTAGCCATTAAAATCTGCCTCCAACCCTGAGCCTGATAATAGCCTTGCTACCCAAGAGGAATGGATTTATAGTCTCCATTTTCTTAGGCAAGGAAACTGAAATTCAGAAAGTGTCTATATTGAGATATAATTTCCCAACTTTATAAAACAAATGGTTGGGATAATGAACTGCCTCTCCTAAATTTGGTTCTCTCTTCCCACCATGTATGTATGCCCTTCCTCCAAAAGCCTAAAGAACATAGAATCAGACAGGAGACCATTCTGAGGTGCCACAGGTTCACAGAGTTCCATACCCACCTCTTCTGATTTCAGTCCCTCCATCCCTGTCCTCCTATGTGGCTACTAAACTCCCTTCCTTCATGTCCATGCTAAGGTGGAGAGGCCACTTCATCCTCATGAAGTGCATCTGCCCTCAGAACTTACCAGGTATGGTGGACAGATGTGTAGCTGCCATTCTGCAAGTCTGTGAGTAAATCTACCCAAGGATGCTCCTTTTGTTGTTTCTATCATCCACAGCAGGGCTCTTAAATAAAGACAAATTAACGAGAGAATTCACAAGTGTTCTGTTTCTCCTTTGTCCTGAGGAAAATGCCAACAAAGGCCAGCCAGTATGTGTCAATTTCATGTTCAGATTCAAGCAGGTTTTGATCTTGCGTCTTCAGTTCCCATGCCAAGCCCAACCCTAGAAGCAAGATGGCAGATGTTCTGGACCTTCCCATCCCTAATGTATGTCCACATTACCAAACCACATTATCTACCACTCATCAAAAATCTCATCTCCACTGAGGCACTTCACTAACTTCTCAGCTGCATTGACACCAACACACATATCTGATGCATTAAAGTCATCAGATCCTGACTCCCAGTATCTTCATTTTGACCCCCAGCCCTGCCTTGATTCAAGATTCTATATTCTTGGGCATAAATTAGCAAACAACCATGGCTTCCTCATCTCAGCCACATACCTTGAACTTATCATCTGACACTTGCCCCATCCAGGGTAAAAAGTCAGACTTCCCACCCTGTGAACACAGGAGCTATCCCGCTACCTTGCTCATTTCTCAACCTGTATCGCATCTTTTCGCCTACCTCATAGAGGCCCCAACCTGTCCATCTTTCCACCAAATTTCTATGCATAATATTCAGTTCCTTGGCACTACATATGAAATGTCATGGCCCATCACATCAATATTACGTTTTCCAGAAGCTCAAATTCCTCTCTCTGTGCTGTTATCACACCTTCTCTGGATAATTCCAACCATGTCTCCATCCTGCCTGGATAACTCCTCTCCAACCAGTTATGTAGGAAGCACTAACGATTCAAGGTCACCTGTTATAAATGGATCCTCTACACTAAAGGAAAGGCCCATCAGCAATTTAATATCCAAGTTAATATAAAGGCATTTTCACACAATTTCTCCAGGATTTTGAATCCCACATGATCTCAACTTTCCCTCTTCAAAAACAAATGATCTTAAATCTTACCCCACAGGGAAATGGTAACCACAACAAGAAGAATTTCTCATCTTGCCACTAGTTCAAAAGTAGTCCCCTACAAACATGGGATCTTGTTCGACTTTGCAAATAAGGAGATGTCTGCCTTCTTATATGAAGCCAGTACCTCCAACTTTGCTATGCCAC